TCCACACTGTTACTTCATAATTCTGTCATACACGTAACATAATACATACGACCATAGGGTGTCGAGAACAGGGCTTCCCGTCCGCTCAGCCGTAGTTAAGCCACACGCCGGTGAATTAGTAGTTGGGCTGGTGACCACCAGCGAATCCTTACTGTTGTATGTTTTTGTTTAATTTTTCTTGCTTGTTTTGTACAAACAAGAATGAGAATATTCTCGCAGTAGATCAGCACGCTGCATCAGCTCGACCAAAGGTATTTCTGGTTCCACAACAGCGCCAAGGGGACATTCTCTCCACGGGGAAGTTGTCTGCGGAACATCGATGACTCTACTCAAGCGTAAGAAGGGTTAAACTCCTTGCAGCCTAGACGTCCTTTGAGATAGTAAAGAAGATGTACTCTATCTAACTATGTAGAGAGGAGTGGGCTACTCACGGAGGCTGATGCTAGCCAAGTGTATAACTTGAAGTTTCTTAGTTCTACCCAAGAACCATACCAGAGGCAAGAAGCGGTAAGTAAAGATGGTACTGGTATCAATAATAGTTCTTCTGGATCGGGCTATTGGGAGGATCTCCTTTGTCAGAACCATTCCGTGGTATTGGAAGAAAGGTGGTCCATGGTAGTGGAAAAGAGTATCAAATTGGGTTGAGATGTAGCGGTGGGTGAAGCTGACTATCATATGGCTGTCATGACTATCAGGACCTCAGGCACCTACAAAAGTCATATGAAAATGTCCCAATAGAAGTCTATCCACTTATTCTAAATGAAACTAATCATCTACATGACTTTTCAACCCCTGCGAACTAACCAGATTATGCCTCTATCGATCATTGCTGTATCATTCCTACCCGTATCACTGGACCTTTGTACACCCTCCGTGTATAAATCACATAATAAGTGAGTGAAACCATAAGAATACCTCCAAATATTACCACACTCCAATTCATTATAGTTGGATCTACATTCTTCGTTAGGGGGAAGAAACTAAAGATCTATATGACTAGCAAAACCATAATAGAAATGGTGTTATATATAGGGGTGAACTTGCCTATACTCTAACGTGCCGGTAGTAGGGGCTAATTATGCTATCGTCGAAGACGAATATAGGCGATAGAAATAATATAGGAGGATAGAAGGGCGGCTATACCGAGGGATATAATAGCGTTTAAAAGCTACGGAAGGCCTAATATTAATTAGGGATAGGAGAGAGATAATAATAAGACTAACGTAAAGGGCATTTAGTAGAACGGTAAAGATTAGGTTAACCTATTTTCCCTAGTTTAGTTAGAGGTATAGATAGACGGCGTATTGAAGAACTTATCTAGGCTAAAAAACGGAAAAAGGAAGGCCGTTGTCTTAGGTAAAAGAGTAAAATCCAAACCCATAGGAATCTGAAAAGGTTAGGGTATCACTATCCACCCGCCTTTCATGCGTCCGGGAGCGGATTCGTTGTAAATCAAATACCTAAAAAATTAGCATAAAACCGTACAATTATCCAAGTCACGAGTTTCTCCCTGTTTGCATTTTTTGTAGTCCCACCATGGGAAATGTGAAGGTCTACTATCTAGCTCGAGCTCCGATAAGACGGCGGCTTTAGGCGCCAACAGATTAGTACTACTATTATACTGCACCATAACAAAGGCTCCATGCAGTTGCCTATACATGGTGAAAGCCTAAAACTGCCGAATACTCTCTAATCCTCCATAGATACCTAGGTACGCAGCTAGATAGTTCATATACTTTTAAGACACGAATCTACATGTTCTGCTCAAAACAACGCAACTTACACTCCTTACCATCCTTCTTATTCTCACCCTCACTCCCATTGTCTCTCCTATCATCATAATCAAGATCCCAAACTCAAGATATCGCAAGTTAGTGGAATTCCATCTTCCTTTTATTTCTCGAAATTACTAATGATAGGCAGACCTATCACGACTTTAATGTCATCTAGCGAAATTAACAGAATTAGCCGGCCCAGCGCCGAGGGCGAGTCGGTCACATATGGTGTTTGGATCCATATCGACCTAGCAATTCGACAGCCGTAACGGATATATTACTCGCCCGCAAGATCGTCCCAGCCTCCAATCTAGCTCACGTGGTTTTTCGTAATACACGCAAGCATTTTCTAGATATACAATGCGAGAAGCTAGGGGAAATTCGGTGGCTATACGTGAAACCGCACGAGAGTCCAACTAGAAAGATACCTTGAATCGATTCATAGCGATCCTCAATCCAGCCCCCACCGTCCACGGAATTGTGGCCATTGGTCAGTGGGTCAGACTTAGACCTCTGGATAGCCCATCAATGGGCCCACGCCTCCAGCCCATAGACCAACCCGCAGTGGGTTATGGGTTGTGGCTTTGAAGCCAGACCAACCCCCAGACCATTGATGGGGGCCTATGAGGCCCCCATCAATGCCTATTTCTGTGCACAAATATAGTCTTAGCACGTATAAAGTAGCTGATTAGTAGCTGTATTTTGCGTATGTACCAACCTATATATTCAGTATTATTAAATTATCATAGTAAGAAGTGGGAATTAATTAGATATTATACTGATTTTAGTATCATGATACTAGATTTAATATAAGATCTCATACAAAATCACTCTAAAAAGATCCAATTTAACCCGTGGACCACGAATTCGTACCTAGGAGGATTACTGAGTATCCGTATAAAGAGAAATATATATATAACTATATAACCTACCTCTTATAAAAATTGAAGTTTTATAAAAATCAAATTTTGATTCTTGTTTACATCTCCTAATCTACCTTTCTATATAATTAGAAGAGAGGGAAGACTTCTATATAGCTTTATATATAGCTTAGGCGGTAATTTGAATACCCCAAAAAACTAGGGAAAAATGCATTAATTATGTAGCTACGATAAATTGGCATGTTTATATTGTTTGGTTTATAATGGGCCCCCATCATACCCCATTATTTCTATGCTCCGGGCCCAGAAACCACCGATGGACCGAGGCATAGGCCCAAAAACCAGACCATTTGGTGGGTTGGGTTGGTCTGGGCTATGGGGTCTGTGGGCTATCCTGAGGTCTAGCCTAGGGACAGTTATGTGCCCTATAATAAACTAAGAATCGCTACGCTATAGACTTATATGTATATTGATATGAATAAGATTATGGTCATCTGCGCCATCGATAATCTTGCCGTAGCTTTTTCTCGTGTCTCCGTGACGGCCACTTCACCACGTCGACCTGGTATATAGCGTTTTCTTTTTCGGGTCCGTTCAGCGATCCGGTTTTCAACGTAAAGGCCGCCCTAGCCCGCAGAAACCAACGTTCTCAAACCAGCAATGCCTTGGTCGCCTGGTCGACTAAGGTAGTATAACTGTACTAATTCGCTTGTTCTCCAGACAAACCGAGACTACAGGACTTGATTCATTCGACCATCATAGTTTCAGGACCTACCTGGTAACACTCATTTTTCCTTGAAAAAGTAACAGCGGTCATCGACTGGGGCCAGGCTGGGTGGTATCCTACATACTGGGAATATTGCAAGGCGCGACGAGTAAGAGTTGATCTAGACTAGTTGTTTTCGTTTTGCTCTTACCTTTTTCTGTAGCTTCAAGAATTCGGAGTAACGTTTATCGTCGGCTTTTTGGGCCTTCTTAAGCCCATGGTGCTCCATTATAAGGTCGTTGCGAATCAGCTGGCAATCCGTTTTAAGCTGTAAAATTTTAGGGTCGTTCTCAAGTGCTGCGTGCTGGGACGAGGTAAGACCTTGGGGTACCGATTCATCTCGGGTCAAGCTTGTATTGCTTGCAAGCTTGATTAAAGAGTCTTTTGTAGGCGTCTCTATAAAAACAGATTGCGTATCGTCCCGCACAGACACATACTTGGCAAAAAGTGCCCCCTTTTTGATGGTCCATAATGATATTACTTGAATGTTCATCAAGGTGTCCTAGTTGATGTTAGATAATGTCTTCTTTGATACCTAAGAAAGGGTCTTACTGAGATTTGCCGCTGCTCCCTTACGATATTTGTAAGGGGATCCTCTCTCCCTGAATCCAGCCGAAAGACTGGCTTCCTTCTCATATTCTCTGAACTGGCTGTATGGAGCAGCTAGTTTTGGGTCTGTCGTAAAGATTCCGTTCTCGCCCCGACTTGCTCTCCTGAAGATTGGAGTCTCATATAAGCTTTTCTTGAAATCAATATGTATGCTATATGGATGGTCCGGCACAGCGGTCAAACCTCAAATATCTCGAGGGCATGTGATGTACGGGCTATAAAATAAACTATCAAGAAACGCGTATGTCAGAATGTCTTGGATAGCTCAGAGTCCTAGGTTATCGTTTCTTTCTGTATAGGTAAACACCGGACTATTGCACGTTAGTGAATTCAAATTCATTGAATCATCGTAAAAAGAAAACCCACGCAACATCTTGGTTTCTCACAACTTTATTCAGTCTATGCGTAATTCTCATGAGAAGGACTTGTGATGCTTGGTCGTCCGGGTGCTTCCCCATAAACAACTCGATATCTTTCCACTTTAGAGCATCGTTCTTTCTCAAATAAACCGGATGACTCGACCAATGTGCCGGGTCTACCTCCTCCTCCTCCTCCTCCTCCTCCTCCAATCCCATTCTGATCTTCACTCTCATCCTCACTCTCATCTCACTCTCATCTCACTCTCATCTCACTCTCATCCTCACTCTCATCCCTCACTCTCATCCTCACTCTCATCCTCACTCTCATCCTCACTCTCATCCATAACACAATCAACAACAGCGGAGACCCCACCAACCTTCTGTTGCGAACAAGGCACGGTTATCGAAAGAGCACAATATCATATCTTTGAATTTCGTCCTACCGTTCATATTCATGAATCAGAGCAAAGCCTTGAAGCTAAACTCCCTCATTTCACCGACTGTGTACTTGAGGTAATTTAATGATAATAGACCTCATAAACCGCAAGGCAAAAGGCTAAATTATTCATCACCTACAGCTAGAACTGCAGTCTTACCTCGATCCGCCACGATGTCCTCGCCGACTAATAAGGTCGAAGCCATCCGTCGCTGCGTTGACGAACTGAGGCGTTGCCTCAAAGACCAATTCATATTGATTGGTGGCGCGTCCATGATGCTTCTGGGGAGCCAGCGACCTACCAATGATGTCGATATCCTTGTTTCACGCAGCGAAGATCTTGCCGCTCTGTTTTCTTTGCTCGCTGCAGACGAAGCATTTTCCAATGAAAACGGTCAGCTCCGATTTAAGCATTCCGGCTTCTCACCTTCACTCGACATTCTTACTGTTGCTGTTCAAATGATTACTTTTGAACAAGCTGGCCCACATTGCCTCACTATTGAGGAAGTTAAGATCCCCAAACCTGACTATAGTCTTGCTATGAAGGTTAAGTGCTTCTACCTACGGCAGGACGACGAAAACGGCCACAAGAAAAGAGAGAGCGACATCTTCGATATTCGATTTCTCTGCAAGGTGATGCTTCAAAAATCGGAGTTTGTAAGTGACGACTGCGCGAATAAGTTCAAATTTGGACATTACCATCTTCTTGAGCTTCGTCAAGAACTCGGACCAGAGGCCACCGCGAGGTTTATCAGAGTCGGCGGCAGAAAGTTTATCCTCCCATGGGACCAGAACTCCGAAGATCAGAGGGAATACTTCTGCGTTTTTGCTGAGCCGGGCGCCGATCCGTTGACTACGGAGCTCGAGGACGAATGAGGTATGGAAAGTGTGGGGGGGGCGATGATTATATATCTGGGGAGATACACCCGTGGACGGTTCGGGGGTACCTCTTGCCTTCCTCTCGATGATTAGGAGTTAAATTGCTCAAGTCACTATTTGATAAACTCTACACTTTATGCCGTTTTTAATTATGATTGATAATATCTGCACACGTATACACTGATATATGTTTGCATATGGCGGCGCCGTAACCATGAGATCTCATCTCGGAGTTGGGCTATGCAGCTTCCGATCTCGTCGCAGCTGTGGGAGATATCCAAGTTGGAGCATCGCAGCAAAAAACCCACATCAAGATCAAGGTGGCGTAGGTAGATAGTCTCTATGACGGAAAAGCTTAGCGCGGAGATGAAAAAGTTGTCGCTCGTATCTACACGTCCGGAAAGGGCAGTAAGCTACGGACTGGGTTTAACATATCACTTTGTAGGCCATTCGTTTCATGCGAAACGTACCCGGAATGGGAGACACAAGGAGTCAGGTTTGGACATCTGGCGTGAATTTGCACGTATGCGTACTAATACCAATTACGGTAATCAGTCCATCTTGAAATCATCGACATAACCGAGGAATTCCCTCTGATCATCACAAATGCGGGCATATTCCAAGAAAAGTCGGTATGTGTAGATTTGCGTAAGAATTGGGGAGTACTACCGATCACCCATTTGCTGCTTGATGCTGAGGGATGTTGGAGGAATCAAGTGGAAATCTGAGGGCAGGTTTCCCACCGTTGGCCTCTTGGCCGGGCTTGCGATGCTTTGCTTTTAGGGCTGCGATCTCTAGGTATTTTCTGGACACGAGAGTCTTTGCCGTTTCAGGAGTTGTAAGGCCGGCTCGGATCTGCTGTCTCAAATAACAGACCTTCTTTTTGGCGCTGTAGAGAATGACCTTGCCGAATAAGTCGACGAAGAATCGATCCTCGACTGGAAGGCATGCGAGAACATCGTCGAGGAGGACACTCAGCAGGTAAGCATATTGGATTTTAAAGTAGCCGGTAATTTCACCGTTCAGCCCCTCATCGCCATGGCGCTCAGCAACAGCATCAATCATTGCTACCGAGACGACAAGAAGTGTTAGCGCGGGGGTCAAGTTTCTCTATATATATCTTGCTAGGATAAGAAAATGTACCCACCTCGAAGATAAACTAGCCTGGGGGGAAACGGTACGCCGTGTCCGGAACGAGAAATGTGGTTGTACTCCAGGATTCTGGACTCAAATCGAGATGCCAAAGGGTTGCTGGTATTATGATCGTGCTTGTGGCCCAGTACCTATCGGGCCCTTCGTCAGGACCGGCTTCGTGAGGTAAAAAACGATAGCCAGGCCACCCTGTCGGACTTTCCTTGGCTGCATCACTGTCAAAGAACCGGCGGTGTGTCTGGGGCAGCTCGTCAAACCCATGTGAGCCCAGGGCAGACCTGGCCAACTCCAGTTGGTCGTCTGCAACCGCAAGGTAGAGGTCAGTCAGGACCAAGGGACCGCCAAGGGCCATAATGACGAGATCTCCAACCACGCAGTATCTCACGCCAGCCGCTTCAAGAATTTGAACAGGTGGCGAGATAGTTGAGTCCAAGGGAGGGAACTGCACTTTGTAGTCGGCCATCATGAGGTTTGGGATACTGAGGTTATCAAGTGGCTTTTTAATGCAAAGAGAGAGAGAGAGAGAAGGTTGATTGATTGAGATCTGTGGAGAGAGGTACTTATGGGTGGTGACAGCCTACTAATCATGCCTGATCTATCAGGTGTCTACAACACTTTTCCATTGATTCATGGCACGGACAAACAATCTTCCTGCCTCACAAACCGAATCAACTAACCCTGGAACGCAATCGGACACCTGAGACCTGTTTGTACACCTCACCACTATTCAACACTTTGGCATTCAAATAGGGGATTGTGACAGAAATCTGACGTATTGAATTGTATGGGCACCACAGCAGATATGGAGAACTCTGTATTTTCTATCTGATGAAAATCCGCTGTTTCTGTGCGGTACTGACTAAGCTTGATTACATAAGGCATATCTTCTCGAAGTCACATGGTCTTCCATCTTCCATGGTATCATACCATGTAAATCCATGTATGCAACCCTGCACTTTGACAGATTGTTATAGGGACATCCCTGCCTGATTTTTCAGTATCTATTTACCTCACTCCACACCGCCTTCGATATTTTACACCGCCTTCGTGTCAAACTACCCCCACACTAAGTCTCTAGTGGCTCTGTATGACATGAGCAAAAATACTTTTGAAACTATTCAACCTCGCCGATACCTCTTATGTGTCTGGATCCATAAGCGTCAGCCAAACTGGCGCTTCTATGACATTTAGGGAATTAGTATGGTTGCTGAACTGGATGCCATCCCCAAGGCAGAGCTCGACGCGAGTAGCGGCTTGTTTATACAACTTAGTAACTATATCGTGGACATGTTCTTCCACGGCAAATCGCTCATAGGCTTCGAGCTCTTCCTCACAGCTTATAGGCTTACGACAAAGTTTTCGGCCTAACCCTGATGACTCATGTAAGGATGAGAACGAATGTGGCGCCGCCCCTGGTGTCAACTAGACCCCCGCACCGGCCCATAAAGCCCATAGCCCAACCCGGACCAACCCGCAAATAGGCTGGTCTTTGGGCCAGTCCTTAGGCCCATCGATAGGCCTTGGGCCTCAAACAATACAAAAATGCCAAGATTCATAAGTAATGCAGATTCTTCTAGTATTTTTGAGTATTTAAATTACCGCCTAAGACCCAAGTTGACCGAGTCTTTATAGGAATTAAGTCAATCAATTGGTAGAATTGACTATAGATGAGATTTATAAAATCAATAAGATTAATAAATCTACTAATAATACTTATATTCTTTATTATTATTATTAAAGTGGCATTTGAAGTTTTCAAAGTTTAGCCCGCATTGAAGATACACCTACTTCTATCTATATAAAATATATATATCTACATATTGATAATCTATCACCTAACTATTCAACCCCCGTATTAGGCTAGACTAGGGCCAGCGGGCCGAGATCTTCCAAGTAAGCTTACAGACTAGAACATACGTAAAAAACAGGCATTATTCAGCAGGTTTATGAGCGCCAAGACGGGATTTATGTATAGAAATGGTCTTTGTTGGGGGCCTATGAGGCCCCCACTAATGGGCCATAGGCTTAGTTGGTCTTTGAAGGTAGGGCCCATAGCCCACTGCTGGTTGGTATATGGGTCTAAGGTCCTGGACCAACTCGGCCCATTGCAGAGGTCTAGTGTCAACTGAAGGTACCTATGGACGGATCTATAGAGCTCCGACAGTTGTTCTGGGCAATCGGTCCAGTGTTCCAATCGTGTTAGGCAGTAATTCCCAGTAGGAAAGGGTATTTTCCATGTGGTCGAACGAGATAGTGTGTTGGCTCTCAACGGTCGAGAGAGCTGTGGGAATGGCACAAGAACTCCACGAAAGTGGTGGCCCGGGTGCGTTATTCTACCTGCTTCCGCTTCTACTATTCCTATAGATAAAGGGATTTGTAATCTGGAGAGCTGTTAGCGGCCATCGACTTGGTTAGAAAAGGGAAGCAATATCTAGGGACAAACGCGGCAGGTCCCACGGCTACTACTAGTAAATGAATGAAGCCCGGCTATACCTAGTCAGGTTCAGTGTATATGCAAGAAGTGCTGCATAAATAAACGCCGGCTATACCTAATCAGGTCTTAGTCTATTCACAACCGCACTATACCAACTTTATTCTTGCCTGCGTGGAAGCACCACGGTTTTCCTAGTATAACATCACGTAGAATTATGGTCTCTCCGACGGTACACCCTATTGGTTGAAAGGATCCTAAAGGTATTTATTTGTTATATATAGGAAGACTAGATAAGGCTACTACCGGTGTAGTAGTAGTAGTAGTAGTAGTAGTAGTAGTAGTAGTTAATAATCAGAATGTAGTACTGGAGTATCTCTATTCTTCTTTATATTGATACTATATCGATCTGATCTAAACTGAAAGTGAAGGAATATAAGAAGGGTTATTAGGACTGGGAGAAATAAACGAGGTGCTAGTTCCGATCTGAAACCTAATGGGTTAGACTTTTGAGTCGCCATTCCGCGAGTACATCCAGAGTTCAAAACTTAAAATAGTTTAGAAAGGGTAGCACTCATAGGAGCTTCATAGGCAACTGTTAGGAAAAATCGTGCAAGTGTACAGGCCGCGCGACTTCACTGGTTTTCTAATCACATGGCCCATCATCACAATGCAAGGTGAAAGATATTGAAGGTGAGAGATATTTGAAAGTGAGAGATATTTGAAGGTGAGAGATATTGAAGGTGAGAGATATTTGAAGGTGAGAGTATAGAACGGGAGCAATAGAAATGAATAAGAGAACAATAGACAGGTGACCAACGGATTCCATGGATGTTCGCCGTCGCCCAATTGAGAAGACACCGAAATCACAGATATAATTACAAGTCCCTCCCCTTTCCCAACTCTCCTTTCTTTTTTCCCGAACAACTACCAACCTTCTGATTTCTACACCACTACTAGTCCCGTTCAACCGACAAGTGAGGCCAAGACCAGTCCCCTCACTTTATGCACAGACTGAAATTTTCGTTCTCTTAGCAAGATGTCGCAGCCACCAGTCTTGAAGTCACCCACAAAGGGACCCGCGGCCGCAAGCCCAAGCCTAAGCTCCATCCCCATCTCATTCCCAACCAAACCAATCTCGAGCAGAAAGCTTCCTGACCTTGAAGCAGCGCTGAAGAAAGTAGCTTCCGCACGGAGCAAGTTTCATGTGCGAAAGGTTGGCCTGTTGGTCCGGTGGGAAAACGATGACGCTGGTGCGGACAATGACTTGGTGACAATGGAATCAATTCTGAAACCGCTTGGGGTCGAATGCAACACATTTGTGATCTCGAATTCGGAAAAAACACCCGCCTGGAACCTCCAAGAGAAGCTCAGAAAAGTCCTTGGACCATGCATCCGGTCGTCACTACCCTCTCTGTTCATTTTCTATTATGCTGGTCATGCTGGTATTCATGATAATTCTCTGCACTTCACGTCACGCCACAAACGAATTCAGTGGGATGCCGTCAGAATTCATCTGCAAACTGCTGAGTCAGTGGATTCTCTGGTGATACTCGATTGCTGCCATGCGGCCGCTGCAGCACGGTCGCCCAGCTCGACAACGAACATTCACATCATTGCGGCGTGCGGAGTTCATGAAATTGCGTCCGAACGCTCAAATTGCGCTTCGTTTACCCAAAGACTGTTCCAAGCCATGAAAAAGTTCAAGGACCAAGGGAATTTCACAACGGCTGAGTGGTACCAGCAAGTACAACTCGAGAAGCCTAAGAATGTCCCCTACGCCGTGTTTGAAACGTTAAGCGGGACCGGAACAATCGGCCTTGTGTTCAGTGATACTAGTCCATCCTGTCTCCCTCGGCCAGTATCTGGAGTGAGCCAAAAGCAGGTGATAGTGAAGCTGACGCTTGAGGGGCAACGAGACACTGTGGGTAGCTTTTCAAAAGCCGTTCGCTCACTCCCGCCGAACATGAAAGTTGAGGTCTGCAGTGCATTCGAAACCGATGCCTCTGTTTTCTTTATCCTGCAGATGACATGGGAAGGGTGGGTTCTGTGGACCAAGGCTATACACTTGGACTTTGTGGGTGTAACGCACAGCCCTGATTTACTCCCCTGAAAAGCGATTCCCCCTGTCTCAGCCTCTGGGGACAATGTGCCCCCCTGAAGACCTCTCTCTCAAGGAAGCATGATGATTTTTCTTTTTGATATTTCCACTTCGTTTGGCTTGTACTTTGTTCTACTTCGCTTGTGCTTTGCTCTTATGTGTCTTTTCATCGAGTGCTCTTTCTTGTCATACCCCCGAAGCAGAAAGCTTTCCTGGGTTTCAGATCGGAGGGGTCGACTTTTCCATCAAAGATGATGTTGACGCCATCTTGAGGCACATCTGCGGGTTGCTGGCTCTTACCTACCATGACTAGGGTAGCCGTTAAATTCTCACTACTCTAAAGTAGCAAGCAATACATAAACCAAGTCCAAAGGTTTCATTTTGTAGTTCCACGGCCATGACTCCCATGTTTCACTATCTGAAGGTTAACAAATTCTCTATCTTTATCCACTAAAGGGTCTAGCGTCGGGAGCTCCGGCTGTCGGGTTAGGATGGATATTTTTAAAGGAAGCAAATTTTGGGGAGAACGGGTTGAGAATTTGACCGGCAGTATGGGATCAGATTTGTAAAAATTCTCCAAGGTGATATCGACATGCCTCAATATCTCCTCCTTGCCATAGGAGATATTGAGTAGCCTGATGCGTCTAGATGGGATCACCCGCGAGATAGTGAACACAGAGGACGTCGGTCACCTCAGTGTCAGTAAATGAAGCAGCGAGGAAAAAGGCAGTTCCTGCCACGATCTTTCCGCTCTGAACTCCGAGGTTTGACAGGAGCACTTCTAAGGTTCAATGACTCTCCATGATCCTGTAAGGATAGGTGAAATATGCTGCAACTCTTGTATGGTTTGCTCGGTACTCTTGACCAGTCACTCTTCGAAATGACTAGCAACGTGGTGCGTCACAGCGGCTTCGTCGCCCTCGAAGTCAGCGCACACGGGACATTTAAGAGAGCCCGGTAGCTGAGTGGCACCGTCTGTATCCTCAAGCCTCTCCTCTAGTTGCTCATTCCGTCCAGCCTGTGTCTTCTTGCTCTTCTTCTTCGCCTTCGCGGGGCGTATGTACATGTCCAGCGCATCATGACGCACATCAGGCGGGGCAAAATGATTGTGTCTCCCGTTCAAATCACCTCCCTCTACTCTTAATTGAATACCGGGCGCGCTCTCTTGCGCGCCCTCTGCCCCTCCATCTATTTCCTGCGTCGGCTCACCGCTCCGGAGGCTCTGTACCCTGCCGACGCGCCCGTCGGTAAGACGCACTTTGACGCCTCGCGGGTGATCGCCACGCGTGAGTAATTCGCTCACTCTGCCTGGTACTGTACGTCCTGTGGGTTGGTCGGCTTTGAGGATGATATTGACGGATGTGCCCGGGTTGATGGCTTTTGAGGGGGCACGCGTGGGTGGGAGGGGCGCGATCCCCCGCGTCCGCCGAACCCGCCGCGTCGTTTTTGGCCATCCATTGAGAATATCGTGGGCGTACAAGGATATTGACGCAGGTCTTTGGATGGCTGGCGCGGCTCGAAGTAGAATTTTTTCAAAGAACCCTGCGGTGTGGGTTCCAAGTTGTCGGGTAGACAAACTGGGAACATCAGACTTTGAGGATGTATTTACGTGTTACTGATTCCAGCAAGTGCTAGAGGAATCATGTTTCTCGACTTTATCTGCGGGACAACTTAAGCTTGTGCCGGTGATTTCATTTTCCAATTTCTCTCGCCCCCAAAGAAAGTTCGATACCAGGGAAGTAATTTACTCCGTTTGGGGGGAGGGTTTGTAATTTTTGTAAAAAGAATGTAAGGGCCGGGTATTTACATACTTTGATGCCGCCTTCGAACGTTTCTGCCTTACATCATCGCCTTCACTACATTACCTAGGTTCCGTAGTCGCTCCTCTGCAGCGGTAGGTAAATGTTGCTGCCTTGATGCCTAGCTTTGGCCTGGCGGCCTGAATTAAGAATTAAAATACCTGGATTACTGTGACGCTTCCTTATAGCTCGATTTTGCTAGCGTTCACAACTCTCAAAAATGAAGTTTTTCATCTCATACAATGCAGATATCTCTATGCTTTTTGGTGGTTTGCAAGTGTCAGTGGAGTATATCTCACTTCGTATGGGGTCAAAAACTTTATTTTTGACATTTGTAAAGGGAAAAATGAATATAACTGACTGACAATGCTTGACTCGTAATTATGTATTGGCTTTCTTTGTACATTTTGATTTGTTTAATAAACTCTTCTGCTGGTCGAGGTGAGCCTAGGTGGCACACAAGGCCTAGATAGCTTTTATTCCCCTTGAAAAATATCCACGAACTCTTTATACGCGCCCCTAAATTATTCGAGATACTCTCCTACTAATTCATCGACTAAACGACGGATCAACCAGTATAGAGGATACAAAGTTTCGGCTAGTAGTAAATAGGCCCATTCGAGGTCAATACCTAGTAGAGATGGATGGCACTCACCCTCGTACTTTCCCAAACAAAATCTCGAAGTATAAAACAAGTCGTCCCCTCGTAGACTCTCCTTTATTTTCTTTCTCTCTCTCTCTGTAAATTTACCTGATTATCTTTACTATATTCACTCGATATACACCTAAGATGTACACGAAAAGTTTTTCGAATTTATTATCAAAAACTCCAAAGACGTGCCCTCCTTCTTTGGTACCCTCCCTCAATGGGGGGCCATCGTTGTGGGGATTGCTTCTGTGTGGGTCAGCAAAGAGGACCTTGCCCTCAAAAAGGAGGAAATTGCCCAAGGCAAATCCTCCAATACCGTACAGCCTCGTACTCTCGATCACGCTCGCCTGGACCACCAGAACGAGGCAGCTTCCGAACATCCTCGACGCGCCGCAACCGAACCTGAGTATGAATCTGAAATGAATCTAAAGTGGATCTAAAGTGAATCTGAAATGAATCTGAAATGAATCTGAAGTGAACCTGAATTGAACCTGAAGTGAATTGGCAGATCTCTTAGCCCCTAGTTTAGGGAGTGGAATATTTATAGAGTAGACTATTGCAGGTAATAACCAAGGACAAAGTTATGTCCCGATGGCATAGTGCTTTCCCACCAACCCAACCGGGACAAGCCCATCTTTTTTTTTTTTTTTGTTTTTGTTTTTTTCAATTTCTTTTTGTGTTTTTGACCAGGCAGACGTGGGGATCCGAAGGGAGACGTCTCCTCGACGGAGAACGCCTTCTGCATCCCGCTCCATACGAATTTGTTGAGGTGAACACCTGATTCATCAGGGTTGTTGTCAGGCTAGCTCCCTGTATGTTTGTAGAAATTAGCCTCTTCTCTCTCTCTCTCCCCGGTCTCTAGTAGCTACATCAAAATTTCTATGAAATTTGTTTCACAAGGTCACTCTCACGCTCTAGGCAGATAGAAGCAAACATCACACATAGAGAATCCGTCTATCGGCAATAAGGGGCTTCCTATGCTGTTCTTGAATCCAATTCTTAAATACACCCAATCCGTGATTACTTGGATCCTCGGATCTTAAATAACCACATTTGTCGCAAGCACCTATTTACTATCCTGAGTTTGTCCGAAGATGATAAAGCAAATATATGAATAGTAACGTCACAAAACCTTTGGTTTAGAAAGCTCCCAACGTAGCAATCCAAAGAGTAATAGGTGAAATACAACGAGGTTCAGGGCGGAAGCCGTAATTAATGCGAAGTAGTGGGCGCGCAATGCGCACTGCCCCAAGGCGACGGGTAACCGAAATATCATGGACCTCACGATTGTTCAACCACATACGAACATGCGGTATCGCGGAAGGGTCGTCCCCCACACTGCCAGTAATATGCACACAATAATAATCGTTACCCATTTCGAGATCAGTCCCTGGCACATAAATTTTTGATACTATGCGACCATCTTGAAGCAGCCTGACTTTGCAGGGCGGGCTGGATTTCGACTGGTCAACTCTTGCGGAGTATGTGCCGTATGCGTCTCGAAATAGACTGGTATCCTGCGATAGAAGTGGAGGCCTATATCTCACAGCCCACTGTCCTTTTTTTCCAGCGTGGATAGCGGAATCGTGAATTTGCGTCCAAAACTTCATTTTGAAAGGCCGGAGATGAAGGTGTTTTTTTTTTTTTTTTTTGCGGAAGGTGAACTGACCATTGATTTTCTTTCGGAGAGGTCAAGGGTACTCGGCGATATCACGAAAAACGAATATTGTATCCTTAGATTTGTTCGATTCAAGTTTCTTGCGGAATGAACAAGAAAAAGTAGAAGTCAGAAACGATTGAGGGCTATAGTTATAAAAAAACACCGTCTATGAATTGGGAATCGGAGTACCCTTGATCATATGCCTAAAATGGATATGAAGTTAAATCCCAAACCTTAAGTTCTTAATACTCCGGCTACGCAGCCCTGGAGCGGCCAGCTGCCAAAACCCTATTTCCGGTAAATGTTGCTGCCTTGCTGCCTTGCTTTGGCCTGAAGTAACCAACCCATAAAAATGAGGCTTTTGATCCCCATACAAACCCCATGTTTTTGGATGGTTTGTAAGTGTCAAAAATGAAGCTTTTGATCTTATATAAATGTAGAGATATCTCCACTTTTTTTTGGCGGTTTGCAAGTGCTTCATTTTTAACGTACAATACACTGTATAGGAGGCCTGAAAGCGATCTGAAACAAGGCTTAATTCAGGCATATGTCAGGCCAAAACAAGGCATTCGGCAACAAGCATTTGTCATTGAGCGCTATACCCCGTCGTACGTCGTACTCGCCCCTAGATTCTACTTAATGGATCATGGATCATTTTAACCTATCTTCCTCAGTATGCCGTTTCGTAATTATGGTCTCTGGAAAGCAACCCCTATATCCTACATCGCTGAACACGAAGAGGATGACAATAAAAGCCCGCATTTATCACTTTACTAAGCGGAAGCGACATCCACTATTATCAGTGAAAACCTAGGACCTCGACGGGCAGAAGAGTTTATTAAACAAATCAAACTGTACAAAGAAAGCAAATACGTAATTACCAGTCAAGCATTGTCAGTCAGTTATATTCATTTTTCCTAACGACATCAATCACATTAATGTATCATTCTCAGCTATACATGTCTCTTTGACAAGCTAACCGCTATCAGTTCCAAGTCGAGGCGATATTGAAGATATCGAGTTTAACGCCCTGAGTAGCTCCCCCAGTTGACACCAGCTTGGCATTAATCGCATCGGCGCTGGGGAAAATCTGAGCCGTCAGAGTGGTCTCGCCCTGACCGCCGAAAACCTCCACACTTGATCGATCGACAAATATGCTCAGGTTCACCCTGTCATCCCCATCCGCAGCGAGAGGTCCTCGATAGACGCTCGCGAAGGTATCGTCAAACGACACGTCTCCAGATTGAGTGCGATCAACGAAGACCTGCTTGTTGACGAAGTCGTAACCAATAAGAGTCTGCTCGGTAAAGTCGGTCGAGCCCCGAATGGCGATGGCAAATTCCGAAGCCGTTGATGTAGCAGAGAAGCTCAAATCGATCTTGATCGTCTCTCCAGTGGTCCCCACAGCGGTTGATCCTTCCCGAACAGACTTGTAATTGTGCGAATAGGCCGGTTGCTTGCTTAAGATAGAAGACCAGGCTTCTTGGGGCTGCTGAACGAGAGCCACCTTGCCCCCGATTGTCTTAAGAGCCAGGTGCCGAGGAATAGACATATGGCTACGCCAGGATTCGGTAGGAATTTTCACACCATACTGCCAGTTGTTCATCCATCCGATCTGGATGTGGTCGTCAATAGCGAGGCCGTTATAGCCAGTCGCGGCGTAGAAATCTGGGCCCCAGTCCATCCAGTTGGCAGTCGCATTTCCGTCGTACACACTATCCGCGTCTGCAGTGAAGGTGGTCCCGTCAAACTCACCCACGAAATACTGGTTTCCAGAGCCGACTGTGCCGGGGGGCCGCCGGGGTTGAGGCCGGCCGCAATGACCCATTTCGTGGACTTCCCTCCATCAAGGGGCAGCTTGAAAAGGCTAGGGCACTCCCAGACGCCGCCTTGCGCGTTGTAAGGACCAAATTCACTAGCCAGCTTCCAGTCTTTCAGGTTGTCGGAAGTGTAAATCACGAACTTGTGTACTGCTGCCAGAGCAGTAATGACAACCCACTGTTGAGACTCCTCATGCCAAAACACGAAGGGATCACGGAATTCATTGTACTGATCTTCATAACCGGCGGGCGGATTATGGATAATTGGGTTCGCGGAATCGTATGTAGTCCAGGTGATGCCATCATCAAGACTGTAGGCAAGGGACTGAGACTGCTGGTTCTCCTGAATGATCTTTCCACTTGGCAGAGTCTGTGCCACAGGGTACTGTAAAAAAATAAGAACTTGTCAGTTATTTCCAGTCCAGGTATTTATTTGCCAGTGATATTAACGCACACTAGAAGTATACATAGCGACTAGAGGGGTCTTGCCGTCCTTCCCAAAGCCACTCGTATTGTTCACATCAGCGACCGTACTTCCGGTGAAGTACATCTCGGTGACGTTACTGCCGTATCCCCGGGCGAGGAAGGCCACGGGCTGCTCCTCCCAGTGCGTGAGGTCTTTGCTAGTGGCATGGCCCCAGGACATATTTCCCCACTCCATGCCGCCGGGATTGTACTGGAAGAACATATGATAGATCCCATTATGGTACAAGAGACCACTAGGGTCGTTCATCCAGTTTTCTTGAGGCGAGAAATGGTATTGACCACGGTAGGGCTGGTCATAGTCAAAGGCATTTGCGAATCCTGCGAAAAGACCCACCGCAAGGGCCTTGATGATATGCACCATTGTGGGGTGATTATGAATTGAAGGATTGAGGATTCAACGCTGTAGGAAAATAATACCTGGCGATTCCGGCACGACGAGGCCATTTTATATGTGAGCCAGTCGCTTCAAGTCCTAGGATACCGGATATTCCCTAGATCCTCCACTTCCCACGGGGACCCAGTCTAGAGGAACTCGTCGCCAAAGTATGGATAGCCGAAGTGCATCAGTTCTCACTCCGCTGGTAGATAGTAACTTTCGCCATGCTCGCAAGGACCTGCATCATCCCACTATTCTAAATTTAATCGGAGAAACTCATCTTGGCACCAAATACAGTCACGCATGGACATGCGCATGACGATTATGGGGTAAGGAACCATGGTCATCTTCGGAGATTCTTCGGGTCGTGGTGTATCTGTGGGGAAAAAAGTTATTGTCGGGACACTCTGGGGATGATAGAAGCGAGGAAACCCCGAGATTAAAAGTCTGTGCGACAGCCAATTCCCCGGTCTACCGGGATCATTCCCCCATAATATGACGCATGGACGTGCGCATGGCAATTCTGGGGTAAAAAATCTTGATGCCTTTGGGGTTTCTTCGGCCCGTGGTACCATGTCTCGGGGAAACAAGTCATCATCGGGGCACTCTGGGGAACATAGTAGCGAGGATACCCCGAGATTAAAAGTCTGTGCGAGAGCCAACCCCCCGGTTTAGCGGAGACATTCGGTTCGTAGAGCGGGGTCGGACGGCAGAGGGGACCCCGGATTGATACCCCACATGAAATTTTAAGGCAACTCCGACTCCGAGTCACACGGAAATCTCACCGGAATCCCATTGTAGTACCGAGGATGCTCTGGAAGCTTATGATGGGGTCTATTACCGGCGATACCGGCTTGGGCGCGAAATTCCACTTTAATGCATAAGCCACCGGGGATAAATATGGGGTTTTGCGTATAAAACTAAGTATACTCCTCATACAAAAGGCTATTTAATATACTGGCAGTGGTATTAAAATTACCCTAGTAAGTACATATACATTAGAGTGTGTTTTCTACCAAAGCGAGAGCGTGCCCCGTGAGTACTTAAACCCAATCTCCTCCCAACTGTCAATGGTTGTCAGCATAGAATCGCAAGCCCCTCCTCCTCCCTCGCTTCCTTGACTTACCTCGTATTCAAAACGACAATTATGTTGTTCAATCGCCCTTCGAATGAGAAGGGTGTGGCATGGCCAGCTATCTTAGTTGGCTTATTCGCGTCATTTGGCGGTATTCTCTATGGATACGACACCGGGACTATTTCTGGTATCCAGACCATGCCTTTCTGGATCGAGGAATTCAACCACCCTAACACTGGCCGTATCGCCTTAATTGTCTCTATCTTGTCGGTTGGTACTTTTGTTGGTTCACTCGCTTCGGGTGTCCTGGCAGACATTACTGGCCGAAGATGGGGAATCATCTTATCTGTTATGTTACCTTTCAACCTTGGGGTTGCCCTCCAAACTGCTGCCACATCGCAGCCAATGTTCATTGCTGGCCGCTTCTTCGCCGGTCTAGGAGTTGGTTTAGTTTCTGCACAAGGTTTGTTAGTCAGTATCATCGCTTCGGGTTCATCTTATTGACCATTCTCAGTCCCCATGTATCAATCCGAGACTTTGCCAAAGTGGATTAGAGGCGCTGTTGTTGGTTGCTACCAACTGTGTATCACGATCGGCCTTTTCCTAGCCGCAGTTGTTAGCTGGGCAACGAAAGATAGGAACGACAGTGGTATGACTAAATTTCAACTCGAGATAGTGACACACTGATCTCACAAAAATATAGGAAGCTATCGTATACCGCTTGCCGTTCAATTTGCATGGGCGCTGATTCTGGTGACTTCCCCTAGTGACAAATGGCAGCTCAAATTGACCAATTACTTACATCACTAATAGACTGGAGGATTGCTCGTTCTCCCAGAGACCCCACGTTTTCTTATTAAGAAAGGCAACGACGCCCAGGCTGTGAAGTCTTTGGCTTTCCTCCGCCGCTTAAAGGCCGATGACCCACAACTCATTTCTGAATTTGAAGAGTTAAAGGGAAACTGGGAATACGAGAAGACCATCGGTTCCTCATCTTACCTCGAATGTTTCAAAGGTGCTGTCCTCAAGCGCACGCTTACTGGTATTATCCTTCAGTCTCTCCAGCAACTCGTCGGTATCAACTTCATTATTTATTACGGTACGAGCTATTTCGCCACCAACGTCGAAGGACTTCCCGACTCCTTTATATTGCAAGTGATTATCAACTCGATCAATGTGGTTATGACTCTCCCTGGTCTTTGGGCAGTTGAGCGATTTGGGCGTCGTCCAGTCCTCCTGACCGGAGCACTTGGTATGGGTATCTCCCAGTACATTGTTTCGGCGTGCGGCGCGGCGACCCCAATTACGAATTTCCCGTCACAGTGTGCCCAGTTCGCTTTTATTTGCATTTACGTCTCTTTCTTCGGTAAGTTAAGTCGATCATACCAAGTCAATATGTTATTAACATCTAGATAAGCATCTACTTTTGGCCCTTGCGCCTGGGTTGTTACGAGTGAGATATTCCCCCTTCAGAATCGTGCTAAAGGCCTTGCCATGACAACTGCGGCGAACTGGTTCTTCAACTGGCTGTTGTCCTATATAACCCCTTACCTCACCGGAGCACTCAACCCAACCCAGTCCAACGTGTTCTGGATTTGGGGCAGCTTCTGTTGGATCGCTGCGGTGTTTGTCTACACCATGATTTACGAAACCAAGGGTTTATCACTTGAGCGGGTCAACGCGCTCTACGAGAATGAACCAAAGGCATGGAAGAGCCCCGGTTATCGATCTGAACATCGCGAGTTCTCTGTTACTTCTATGGATGAGAAATGATAGCCTTCGGAATTATCTGTTGAGGATGCGGCGCCAGGAAGCTCTGTCTGAACCTTTTCTGTTCGTTGTTTGTCTGTTTCTCGGGCTGTATACGACTGCATCTATTTACTGGATGTATTTTAAACAACGGAAATATCGACCATATCAGATCTGAAATAGAGCATCTTATTTGTTACTTTCGGTGGAAATAATCAAATTTGATACCTAATTAATTTTATTACATATTGACTATAGGCTCCGCGGATTGGACCGCGGAACTTGATTACTACGGCTGGGAACAAGCTCAGCCCTAGTAATCAATGGCGGATGGTGGATGTCTATAGAATAGAGCAAATCGGTGCGTAAAGCGCCTTTTCATCAATCTCTCACCTTACTATTTCATTGCCATTGTAGCTTCACTTCAGAGGATGTGGTGGAGCCATCTGAGGAGAAGGCGTACATCTAATGCTGATATGGATTAGAAAATCTCAAATGTTGTTCCTGCAGCCATTTTCTAGTCTGATAACCATACAAAATAGGAAAGCGGGAAGGTCCGGTACGATAGATACATCATTTCAATTCCATACATTTTCTGCTGATCCGATATTCGATCAATAGGCTCCCTAGCGGCCCTCGGTATGTTACAAGCTTGTTAACCAGAATGCCTACCACGGAAGCCTGGTATAATGCTCGGTACAAACAGGAGGCATTCCCCCAATCGAACCATGCAAAGCCCATTCAGCCAACTTATGGGGTTTCTTTTCCACCTCATCATGAGCAGCCAACAACCATTTATAAAACGCATCGATATCTTCATACATAAGCGCCCACGCATGAAGCCAACTCCCCGGGTCTTCTTCCTCACGCTGCCGAACTATCTCTGCCTTGTCCGAAGCAAGTAGTCGTTCCCGCATCTCCATCCACTTAGTATAGCGTTCCCGAAGGAATGCCAGCTCTGCCGGCGTGAATATATAGTCTCGGTCTTTACTTTTCGCAAGGCGATCAGCGTCATCAGCGATCCTGTGAATCTCCTCTTGGATCGACTTGGGAAACTGCTCCAGTTCTGGCTCGAAGAGAAGACTGTGGAAGCCAATTCCCAATCTATATGTGAGACCTGCCGCCTGTGATAGGAGCATTCTCTTCAGATCACGCGCCATTACTACCCCTAATGGACCTGGTCCGTACTTTCTCGCGTAGCATTGATAGCAGCGCATTTCGTCGATTTGTCTTCTGGAGAGTAGATCTTTTCGATCTTGTTAGCTTTGTTCTTTTTGGGTACACGGGGTGGTCTTAGTAATAATACCAGGGGTCTTTTTTGGGGAGGTAGTGCTGCGCGAGTATGTAGTATTTAACATGAATATCCGCTGTTCTTTCCATTTTTCGCAACACGGACACCGCATCATATACATCGTCCAGAAGCGGTCGCGCACATGAACGCGGTATATCGCATATGACGGCGGATGATTGACTGGTCGTTTATTCTTCAGTTTCTCTGAAAACCGGGGATAGTGGCGATCCGTGGCTGTTGGAATCCTGTACTGGCGGCTGGTTGCAAATGCGACTTTGGCCGTGCCATCGCCCCCGATGAGGGTGGGTTTCAGTTGGCCTGATTGGTACCGGCATTCATGGCATTTGCGCAGGTGTCGCTTGTATCCACAGCGCGTACGTTCGATAGCTTCTACCTCCGCTTCGAAAAGATGCTTTTTTTCATAGGCATCTAATGTGATGAACTCGGTAAGGGTCATGTTTTCAAGCGCTGTCCACCCGCAGCCTTGGAGCTCGTGGTAGGTATTCTCAATACCGGATGAGATGGACCTAGCATCCCACTTTTTTGAGCTGGCGAGTGCGTATCGTCGTCGAGTCTGTTTCTCTTTGATATACTGGCCAGATTGTGATCGCTTTTCACGGCGTAAATGCGGTAGAAAAGGGTTTGACCTCGGTGTTGATTCCCAAGTTGTGCGATGCTCCGATGCCGGGGAGCTGGGGATAGGCTTGCGATATGCCAGTCGGAGGATGGAGTGATTATCGAAGTTTTCCTCCGGAAGGAGGCGAAGACACCGGCTACATGCCCAGCGCATCGCCTTCCACTCAGGCTGGGTCCAATCTGGACTGAGAACATTGTTCTTTGAATTTAAAAGCGGAGTGATGCCACCTTCTTCCTCATCACATTCTAGCTGGACCAATCTTTCGACAAAATGCTTTCGGGTTGGTTGGATGATCTTTCGAAATTTTTGGTTGGTTTGGCTGACAGATATCAGGCCAACGGGGTCTAAGAGACGGAAGATAGCACATTCAAGCTCAGTAGGGATCGTATTCAAAGCTGCCATCTCTTCAACAATTAAGTTCCCAGCTTCAAGTTGGCAAAAGCAAGCAAAGTGCAGATTTTAAAATTTAAAATAGGTGCCTTGTGGGAAGATCGTCGGTGGTGCTTGCTGCGGCATTAGTAGTAGTCTTATCGGGGCTGCCTCACGTGATTGATAACCACGACCCGTAGTTAGGAGATGTGTCAAGCCAGTGTGCCCCACTTTAAATTGGTGACGGTAAGTCCCGGGGCTACCAGCCCGGGGGGTACTCGAAAAAAAAGCTCCGGGATACCCGCCAAGCCTGCTTATATCATCGTCTAATATTGAGTACGTCCCAGGTCGTGGACCTCAGGGATACCCAAATTCATTTGATTATATAAAATACATTTAGTCCAATCATACCAACCCTTGGCGTAGCCCCATACCACACTAAAATGCACCACAACTACTCAGTATATCTATATATATCCCAAATACTATAAAATATCTTTTATTTACTTACTTTTTAACATTGTTTCTACATCAATTCTAGGTTATAATATATTTCGTATAATATTAGTATCTTCTAGTATAACCTATACTAGAATTTTTATAAACGCCGAGTATATATATATAACTAACTAGTTATATATTTCTTTATACTTCTACCCTATCAAACCGTTTAACCTTTTCTTTTTCGCTTTTCTCCCTCTACGTCTATTCGATCGGCTTTAAATCTCGTATATATCTTTATTAAATTGTCTATTTATACTCTACTAATTTTTAGTATTTTCCGACCGTACGTTATAGTAGTATAAACGTTTCGGTTTTCTCTACCCTAGGGACGCCCCCGCTCCGGCGTTCGTTCGGGGGTTAGGCCGGTTATTAGGCGCCTAGTACGGCTATATTGTAGGTTCTGCTAGTAAGAAATAAAGAAGGCGGTATAATTAATTAGGAAGGCGGTAGTAAAAGGTATTAACACTTTTACGGAGTCACCTGATTATAGAGGGTAAAGAGGGTAAATAAAAGTCAGACGGAAAATTAAAAATTAGAAAAAGAAGACTATGGTTATATAATCAAATGAATTTGGGTATCCCTGAGGTCCACGACCTGGGACGTACTCAATATTAGACGATGATATAAGCAGGCTTGGCGGGTATCCCGGAGCTTTTTTTTCGAGTACCCCCGGGCTGGAACCCGTAAGTCCCGAGGTCCCGTACAGGGCCGACCTCGGGACCACTTCGATTATATAATAATCACCTACCCGTGGACCCTAATACTCCATTTAGCTATAAAAAAGAATTAATATAAACCCATTTGTATCTATACTTTGTAATGTCGGAGTTACCTGCGGGGTGTTTTGCACAGACCGAGGCTTGAAACGCTGAGACCTGCACCTACCCGTCACCAGCACCTGATTTATAATATATAGTATTTGTCATCCAAGACGTTGCATTAAATGCTGCGATTATCTCTAATAGTTCCTCACTATAACCTCATCAATGCTCGATAGTTCCAAACAACATGTCCACCGATAAATCCAAGCCCTATATCCCCCTAGCCGGCAGCGCAAATGACGGTTGGTCTGCAGACCAGCAGGCGACAGCTACATGCTACTGTGGCGCCATACAACTTGCTTTCGTGAGTGTAACACATAGCTCAATACCAATATCCACACTTCACTAAAATTAACGGCAAATAATAGCCAACCGAAGGTCCTGGCCTGATTGACACATTCCTCTGCCACTGTACAGACTGTCGCAAAATCACCGCCTCTATGTTCGCCTCCAATTTCATAATTGCAGACTCCCATCTGAGACATATACGCGGCCGCAAGAATCTCACGTCCTACAGCCAGTCTGGGACAATCGGTTCCGGCAAGAAAATGACCAACTTCTTCTGCACAACGTGTGGTTCGCTTATGTATCGCGTCGGCGAGGCATTCCCAGGACATACATAGTATTCTTCGTCTTGGAACAGTGGATGATTTTAACTTACATGAGACTAAGTTGAGGCCGAGGATTGAGCAGTTCACGAAGGATCGAGTTGGGTGGTTACATCACGTCGAGGGCGTTGGACAGGTTGGAGGGACGGCGTATAGTCCGAAAAGAGAACCTGACAGTTCGCTTTGAATTGGGCAACTCAGACGAGCCATACTCGAAAGCGTAGAGTATCTCGTCGTTATGGAATGAAACTACAAAGATCTGAAATGAAAAGGAAAAAAAGTTTACCAAGAGACTGAAAGGGCATAGAATAAAAAAGTGCAGTTGATTACAACTAGCTAACAAATCGAAGATTTAATACCTTGATTTTCCTTTAAAAACTGTCTTCGAAATATCCTAGTCTTTATATGCAACTGAAGAAATAGAGTATAGTAAAGAGGTATTCCCTTCTGTGCTTGCTTCTGCTAACTTCGAAGCCTTTGATATTCTAGTGAGAGGATGGCTATGAAGAGTCAGTCGGCTCCAATCTGAGTTCATGCCGACTTCAGAAAATACCCCTCAATAATAAGTGAACAAAGCCTCTCACGGCCTCTGTCGAGCTACGTCCAGTGCATTTGACTAAGTACTTGCAGTCACACATTAAACTTTGATCTGCTCCAGCCTCTAAAAGAGCCATTGGAGCAGGAATTCCACCGTCACTCTAAGCCCATCCAAGCGCGGTGGACACAGAGCCCGCGAGGTCTATATAGGCGCCTCACTGCAGGAGAAATTGAAATATCCCCTCGTGGCCAAACTTTGCCGCACATCCCAGCCCATCATTGACACGACACAGAGAGGTACATAGCAAGTTGAGTCACAGTAAATGCCTTCCGACCAGTCCTCATATGTAATTTGTTCAAAGAACTCGTCTGATGACTGGAATTGTGGGAGTTTGCCGTTGCCATCCATGCCGTCCGTACTAACACCATGCTCCAGTAGTGCTGCAATATAGAAGGGCATAAACTCCTGCCAATTACCCAAGGGTTTAATATAAGGCTCAATACCTCGTTCCAGTAGAAGTTTTGCTATCGCAGTTGTATTATGTACGATTTCACGATTGAGAGACTGAGAGGATAGGCATTTATTACACTTCGCTGCGGAAGTCGATATCGATTCCACGGTCGAGCATAAACTTGACGCACTCTTCATTTCCTTTATAGACTGCATTGCTGGGAGTTAATTGAACGTCTGGTTCTAAATCGGCCACACTTTTCGACCCAAAGCTGTGATCAAGAAGAAGTTTTAATATTGTATCGTCCCCTTCATCCAAATGGTAAGTCACCCTACAGAGCAAGGAATACCCACCGTCATCAAACAACGTCGGATCATCATGAAACCATTGCATAAGGAGCACAGCGACTGCTGCACGATTATGGTATATCGCCTGTGTCATATAAGAGCAATGTGGATCATCTAAGTAGGATGTTGAAACGTGTCCGAGAAGGAACTCCACAATATGTTCATATCCATGTTCTATCGCTATTTTTAGGGCATCCCTTTGTTCGTTGTTTAAGTGTTTAGTTGTTGCATAATCCGGTCCACGGTCGAGAAATTCCTAGACAGTGTGTAACTCGCCGCGCGTGCAAGCCCATATCAGTCACGGCCGAGTGGCAGTGACGAAGAGCCGAGCTCAGCACAAGCGGTCTTCGGGTCCCATCTAATTGTGGAGTAACAGACTGGCCTGCATAGGGGCTAAAATTGGGACGGGAAGACATTTCATATAAAAGTCGAGTTGTAAGATAATTGTATAGATGTAAAAGGCTCAATTGTAGCAAACAAGAAACAATGTCATTAAGTCTTTCATATATAAATACAATATAAATACAATAATATCACTATGTGCGCCAGGAGTTAACCAAGGGTTTCACATTCAACATCTCACCTTATGGTGCATATGTATGTATGAAGTATAAGCTCTTTGCAGATGCGGCATATACATATTGATTCCCTGGACTTGTATAAATTTGCTTTGGGTTGATCCATTTTTTGATTCTACTCAAGTTTCCTTTTCATTTCTACTTTATGCCTACAGAAAGGACTACATATACTACACGGCGAGCTGCGACATGAAATCTTATGAATTGAGCAAGGCTATGCTAAAGGGGAAGGACCGTGGGGGGTGGATGTGCATGATTAATTCGTGGGTCGTTGAGTGAAGGTTAACTGAAGGTGATCAAGGGGTGGTCTCGAGCAACAAGCCTTCTTTTTACCACCACAGCAAACAGCCTTGAGATTTTCCTTCTAATTGGGTACACGTTGTAACCTCTTCCTGACGAGAAGTCTCCATTGGAGACAGTCCTGCGGAGACTCTTGTCGTTCAAGGCCGCTTCTTTTCTTTCCTCCTCTTTTAAGGTTGGGCATTTTGTGTGATTGAATATGCATAGGCAATTGTGGATTCGTGATTGATGTGGGACGGTTTCTTAGATGTGGAAGTTTGTTTGAAATGGATGGTCAAGGTGGATGGTTGACCAGCCGGTCGATTGTCCCAAAGCTGTGAAGCCCACGACGGTCAGACTGATTTGGTTCGGAGGGTTGATTACAGACGACGATCGACTTGAATGATTGAAGTAGTCGTCAGCAGTCTTGAAGCCGAATCCCCCACGGTCAGACAAGTTGGGATTGAATTGGTTGATTGTGGTGGGTGGATGATCGAGGTAGTTGTGAGAAGTCTTCCGATTGTCCTGAAGCCGAAGCCCGCCACGGTCAGACTGGATGTGGTTGAAGTGAATTATGCATCGAGATAGATGGTTGATCGAGGTGGATGATGAAAGGGGCATAAGCAGTCCGCCGATTGCCCTGAAGCCGAAGCCCGCCACAGTCAGCCTGATCATGATAGGAGTGGTTGATTGAGGTGGATAGTCGAAGTGGTTGCAACTAGTCTGCCGATTGTCCTGAAGCCAAAGCCCGCCACGGTCAGACTGGTGGATGCCGTTGTTCAAGGGGGTAGCGAGGTCATTCATGGAGGGAGGGATTCGAAGTGGTTACCACCAGTCAGCCGATTGTCCTGAAGCTGTGAAGCCCGCCACGGTCAGACTGGTGAGTGTTGTTGATCGATGGGGTTTCGAGGGGAGATCGAGGTCATTTATGGAGGGGGAGGTTTGAAGTTGTTGCCACCAGTCAGCCGATTGTCCTGAAGCCAAAGCCCGCCACGGTCAGACTGGTGGATGTCGTGGGAGGGGTGGGGGTTCGAGGAGGGTATTCGAAGTGGTTGTCACCAGCCTTCCGATTGTCCTGAAGCTATGAAGCCCGCCACGGTCAGACTGGTGGATGTTGTTGTTCAAGAGCGGGTTCGAGGGGGGTGATTGAAGTGGTTTATGGACGTGGCATGAAGGGGTGATTGAAGTTGATGATCGAGGTGGGTGGATGATCGAAGGTGAGATAGCCAGTCTGCCGATTGTCCTGAAGCTGTGAAGCCCGCCACGGTCAGACTGGTGAGTGTTGTTGATCGACGGGGTTTCGAGGGGAGATCGAGGTCATTTATGGAGGGGTGGATTGAAGTTGTTGTCACCAGTCAGCCGATTGTCCTGAAGCCGAAGCCCGCCACGATCAGACTGGTGGATGTCGTTATTCGAGGGGGTAGCGAGGTCATTCATGGAGGGGGGTATTCGAAGTTGTTGTCACCAGTCAGCCGATTGTCCTGGGGTCGAAGCCCGCCATGGTCAGACTGGTGGATGTCGTTGGAGGGGTGGGGGTTCGAGGGGGGTATTCGAAGTTGTTGCCACCAGTTAGCCGATTGTCCTGAAGCCGAAGCCCGCCACGATCAGACTGGTGGATGTCGTTATTCGAGGGGGTAGCGAGGTCATTCATGGAGGGGGGTATTCGAAGTTGTTGTCACCAGTCAGCCGATTGTCCTGGGGTCGAAGCCCGCCACGGTCAGACTGGTGGATGGTGTTGTTCGAGGGGGGTTGGAGGGGGGTTGATCGAGGTAGTTGACGGAGGGGGATTGAAGTTGTTGTCACCTGTCAGCCGATTGTCCTGAAGCTGTGAAGCCCGCCACGGTCAGACTGGTGAGGGGTGTTGATCAACGGGGTTTCGAGGGGGTTGAAGCGATTCATGGAGCGGGGTATTCGAGGTGGTAGTCACCAGTCTGCCGATTGTCCTGAAGCCGAAGCCCGCCACGGTCAGACTAGTGAGCGTTGTTGATCGACAGGGTTTCGAGGGGGATCGGGGTCATTTATGGAGGGGGGTTTGAAGTTGTTGCCACCAGTCAGCCGATTGTCCTGAAGCCGAAGCCCGCCACGCTCAGACTGGTGAATGTTGTTGATCGACGGGGTTTCGAGGGGAGATCGAGGTCATTTATGGAGGGGGAGGTTTGAAGTTGTTGCCACCAGTCAGCCGATTGTCCTGAAGCCGAAGCCCGCCACGATCAGACTGGTGAATGTCGTTGTTCGAGGGGGGTATTCGAAGTGGTTGTCACCAGTCTGCCGATTGTCCTGAAGCCGAAGCCCGCCACGGTCAGACTAGTGAGCGTTGTTGATCGACGGGGTTTCGAGGGGGGATCGGGGTCATTTATGGAGGGGGGTTTGAAGTTGTTGTCACCAGTCAGCCGATTGTCCTGAAGCCGAAGCCCGCCACGGTCAGACTGGTGGATGTCGTTGTTCGAGGGGGTTCGAGGGGGTTGATCGAGGTAGTTGACGGAGGGGGATTGAAGTTGTTGTCACCAGTCAGCCGATTGTCCTGAAGCCGAAGCCCGCCACGGTCAGACTGATGGATGTTGTTGTTCAAGAGGGGGATCGAGGGGGTATCGAGGTCATTCATGGAGAGAGGGATTCGAAGTGGTTGATGGAGGGGTGTGATCGAAGTCATTGAAATGGTTGTTACCAGTCTGCCGATTGTCCTGAAGCCGAAGCCCGCCACGGTCAGACTGGTGATTGTTGTTGGTCGAGGGGGATGATGGAGGGGGATTGAAGTTGTTGTCACCAGTCAGCCGATTGTCCTGAAGCTGTGAAGCCCGCCACGGTCAGACTGGTGAATATCGTTGTTCGAGGGGGATGACGGAGGGGGATTGAAGTTGTTGTCACCAGTCTGCCGATTGTCCTGAAGTTGTGAAGCCCGCCACGGTCAGACTGGTGAATATCGTTGTTCGAGGGGGATGACGGAGGGGGATTGAAGTTGTTGTCACCAGTCTGCCGATTGTCCTGAAGTTGTGAAGCCCGCCACGATCAGACTGGTGAGTGTTGATTGGATTTCATGTTTGATGGGTGATTGATTGGATGATTGAAGTGTTGTTTGAATGGATGGTTGATTGAGTTGATGGTATGATGGTTGATTGAGTGGATTGTATGATGGTTGATTGAAGGGATGTTTGAATGGATGGTTGATTGATTGGATGGTGGATGGTTGATTGATTTGTTCTTTGGATGGATCATTGATTGATTGGATGATTGAAGTGTTCTTTAAATGGATGGTTGATTGAGTGGATGGTAGGATGGATGATTGAAATGTTGTTTGAATTGATGGTTGATCGGTTGGATAGTCAAGTGTTGTTTGAATTGATGATTGATCGATTGGATGGTGGATGGTTGATTGATCAGATGGTTGGATGGTTGGTTGAAGTGTTGGTTGGGTGGTTCCTTGAAATTGTTGAAGACTTTCTTTTGTTTTCCCTCTCCTCCTTTCCTTTCTTTTTTTTTCTTTTTCTTTTTCTTTTTCTTTTTGTTTTTGGCCGTGGTGCCTGAAGGATAGATGTAAGTAAAGGAGCAAAGAGAGGTTGAATGTGGATGAAACAACAAACCAGACATGTGATGAATGATGTGAAGGTATAAGACATGTTGATGTGATATGTTGTTGTGTGGTTGAGTTGTCTGAAGGATAGATGTAAGTAAAGAAAGCAAACACAAGTTGGAAGTGGATGAAACAACAAACCAGACATGTGATGAATGATGTGAAGGTGTAAGACATGTTGATGTGATATGTTGTTATGTGGTTGAGTTGTCTGAAGGATAGATGTAAGTAAAGAAAGCAAACACAAGTTGGAAGTGGAAGGAACAACAAACCAGACATGTGATGAATGACGTGAAGGTGTAAGACATGTTGAAGTGATATGTTGTTATGTGGTTGAGTTGTCTGAAGGATAGATGTAAGTAAAGAAAACAAACAGACGTTGGAAGTGGATGGGACTAACCAGTCATGTAATGTAATGTGGACGTGACAAAGGCCAGTGCATCAAGGCATGGTGGTAACAGAGTTCATCTCTCAGATGTGGAAGTAGAAAGATGAAAGATGTCATGAAGGTCAGACTTATGATGTAAGACCTGATGAAAGATGAAAGTTGGATAAAATATTTGATAAATTGTTTGTTGTGGATGGTGTGAGGAGTTGGGGAGATGAAGAGGGAAGAAAAAAAATGGAGGGAAGAGGGGGGAGGAGGGGGTATTTATACCCCAAGGGTCGAAGTGCACAGGAACTTCACGGAAGTATCGAGAAGCGCATGTGAACGGTACGGAAGTATCAAGAAGTGCATGTGAACGGCACGGAAGCATCGAGAAGTGCATGTGAACTGTACGAGAAGGGCATAGAAACAGCACGGAAGTATCGAGAAGTGCATGTGAACTGCACGAGAAGGGCATAGAAACAGAACGGAAGTATCGAGAAGTGCATGTGCACTGCACTAGAAGGGCATAGAAACAGCACGGAAGTATCGAGAAGTGCATGTGAACTTGCACGAGTAGTGCATAGAAGCAGCACGGAAGTATCGAGAAGTGCATAGGAATTGCACGGAATTATCAAGTATCGAGAAGTGCATGGGAACTGCACGGTTCGTAACTGGGGGTCCCTTCAAGGACCCCCTATTTTTCAACTTCCCCTCTTCAACTATTTACTCAACAAGTTCACTCCAACCGTAATGATTACTGAGGCAGTAGTGTAATCTCTAGAGACATAAAAAGAAGATGCGACGGTGTCACTCTATAGGCTTATCCCACTAGATATTATTATTGCCACTTTCACACAGCGACTCAGAGATATTTGTATCCCGGCTTCGAGTATTTCTAGTCACGTCTCATAGAAATGCATCATGTTGTCGTACAGGTCGTTGAGACGCGGTAAGCTTTATAGATCATTAAGGTTATACGCTGGACCGTGTTTGGTATAGCGTATATGCACGGCCCATGGTTGTGTCATGCAGTGCGACCTTGGCATCGGAAAAGCACAGACCTCGAGACCTCGGGATTTCCTAGGTAGGTACGAAGTTGCGGGAGTCAATGATGCATCTAGATAGTTTCTGCTGTTATAGATCGTATGTTGCTAAAATCCGGGAGCGCTCGAGTATGTACCTGGTCTAAGGTTGCATTGTGCCCAGACGAGGACTCTGGCTGAAGATGCAATACGGACACATCAGCCGCACAAAGAGTAAGATCTCCAGATAATACTATGGTAATATCATGAACTACTGCAATCATCCTATCCCCATCTTCGCTTTATCCGCCTGATGATCCTTTTGGTCAACCTTCTTAGGTATGATCTGTTGGCCCTCCGACTCGAAACCCCTACCAATCTCGATCGCTGGAAGGTGAACAGCAATTTATTGACTTCTCTGAACATCTAATACAGACCCAGATCCCCTCTCCTTAAACCGCTGCGTTGGTAAGCTGGATCCCGTGGAGGTCTTGGACATACCGGCTGGGCTGGATGATGGATATGGTACCCTACGACAGCATGCACAGCACCAACATGCGTTGTGGATGAGGTGTACCCAGTATTAGTTGGAGGAACAACAGGGACCGAGTACATGATGCAGATACTATTAGGCTCCTTGCAGGACCTTGACGGTGGGACGGCTTAGAGGGTGAGACAGTGCCATCGCCTTGAAGTACTATGTGACTGAGGATCCATATATGGCAATCTACAATGGAAATCAATGTTGATAGGTTACGAAGCGGTTGATCTTTGGTGACACTTTGTGGGCTACTCATGGATCATAGAGGGGATGAAGATGCAGAATGTATTGAGTGTATAGGAGCTATAGACGAAGGAGAGACGGAGAAAGAAACCGAGCTATGGGAGAAGCATTGATGCCGAAGACCCTCAGTGAGCATAGTGTAGCTTAGTTCAGCGAACCCCCTATGTCGTAGGCTGCGGTGGGTACTTGGGTTTGTTGCAAGTGCTAGGAAGGTTGTTCGTAAAAATGCGGGTTTTGAGCTAGCCGGAAATCGCAACGTGTCGCGCCAGTGAGATCAGTTAATGCCCGCAGAAGTAAGCCCGGTGTGTATCGTTGATGGCAATTAGTTGAAACTCGCCACGATAAGGGAGGAAGGACGGCGCGCGCTCTGGTTCGTAGATAGAGCTCGCGGACGAAGATAACTGAGCAGCGTGCTGGTTTCGCCCTCGTTTAATTTAGGTGGTGACAGCGAGGTGTGCGGGAGAGAATGCGTAGAGCGTGGTGTACGACGATTGCGAAGTAGCACGAATGCACAAACTCGGGCCCTTGACCTCTTTGGGCGCTACTCGAGGACCGTGAATGGCATGAAGATGCAGAATGTATTGAGTGTATGGAAGCCATAGAAGAAAGGGGAAAAAAGGGAAGAGACCGAGCCATGGAAGAAGCATTTAGGCCAAGCAGTAGTACTAAGCAACAACCTTATGATATTTCTACAATCTCTGGCTGTATTTCGGCAAAAGGTGGTGCTCCAGATCATCGCTCGAAACACATCAGACCGGTCAAGGGGAGTATAGACACCAATAGATGTGCAGGTATGGAAGAAGGGTGGATGTCTACAGATTTTCCAGGATGATGTGTCCTCAGGTATGTGGGAAACCGCAAGCTAAATGATTGATTCAGGCACCTTGATCTGATCTCGAAGAGCGTGAAGCGGCGAAGACAACGGATGATAAGGGGAGAGAACTGGACGCACTGCCATGACGGACACATTGAGTATCGAAAGAGGGTGCCAGATGGGCAACCATGGGATCCCCACCGTGTACGCAACCGAGGTCAGAGGTGTCTAAATGGGGCTTCAGATGATCCAAGAGGGCTGGTACCGGGCACTGGGAAGGACAAATGGACGAAGACGGCGTCGGGGAAAACGAGGGGGTAATCGAAAAACCTAGTCGAATTACTTCGTAAGCAAACAGCATAGTAGTGGGAAGGTGATAGAGAAGCCACATCTTCGGTCGTGATACAGATGCGGATGACTATCATTATATTCTGTTCGTATCTGGTAAATATCAAGAGGGTGAGATCACGAATATCGATTTGCGACTGAATACCCAGCGTTCGAAGAGTTGCGGACGGATCTGTTCAGTAGACTGGACGGTAGGATATCAGCGACCCTTGGTAAGAGGAAGAGGGTACTAACTGAGCCCTCCATATTCGTCGTGGAATTCATGACGAAACCAGGGCTCTTGTGACAGGGTCAGCGAGTAGACTCTGTTGCCACGGGCAGAGAAGGCGTAAAATAAGAGCATACAACCGCTACTGCCGACTAGGGCAGTACACGATCACAAACGACGGCAACGACAACACCTCGAAATTGAGCAAACCAGGATATAGAGATGGAGGGAGTCCGAGGGAGCACAACAGGGGAGAACTGCCGGGTCTGCGCCCCTCGGCACCAAGTTCACCTATCCAAGCGAGTTCCTCGGGCGACATCAACAACGGGAGCGAGGACGAAGAGAAGAGCGGGGCAAGCCATGGTGGGTGCACGAAGACGAGCCGTTCACATTTGTGGACTTCGCAAAACTCGTGGGGTGCGGGAAGACGGCGAGCTTTCGTGATACGGGGTTGACGCTGTTTAGGATGTCGGTGGATGGACGGACCGAGAAGTGCAGATGGAGAGATGCGGGCAATTGAGCAATTCAAACCAGAATTTGGGTTGTGGAGACAGTGTCCGACGATACCAATATAACCCACTCAGACCAGGTCTATCCGATGAAGGCAATTTCAGTCACATTGACTCCGTACAGCTATATGACACAAGAACGCGAGAATGGAGATAATCAGTGAAGCTACGTCTATTACTTTGCTTAGGAGATGTCTACGTGGTGGACGTCGAAGTGCATGGTGCAATGTGAAATGAATATATTATTGAAGACGTTAAGCTACAGAAGCTAACAAAGAGACTGAAAAATCCGACAACTTTATACTAGCTTAAGGTTAATCGGAAGTGATACATTAATATTGTGGATATAGTACTTGAATGTGGTTGAAGGCATAGCTCGTGGATACAGAATAGAGTACAGACGCAACCAGAGAGAGAGAATCACACCGTTTTTGTATCCCACTACACCGTGATCGAACTCCGCGTTCTTGTTTAAATGGCCCAAGTGTGGTAAACACCTAGTCTAAGGACAAGCGAGAATATGATGTGCGAGTCTCACTCGCTGACACCTCCAGGAGAAGTAAGGGTGGCAGCACTAGAAGCCTCGTAACTAGCAGAGGCATTGACACCCATGGCAATCTATGCAAAGACACCATCCTCGACCGTCTCACCAAGCAGAACGTATTCGAAGAAAGGATCAGAGTTGCTGTCCTGAGTCTCAACAATGACGACGTGGTCATCTGCACTCTCGGTGATAGAAACGGTGTTAGTGTTGCACGGGTAGGTGTTCTCAACCTGGGTAATCAGGTCCTGGTCGAAGAATAATTGGCCAATGTGAGCAACGTGACTACCGTGAAGGGTCTTGTTTGCCTGCTCCTATGTACCAACAAGGGCGACGACATGGATGTGAGTAGTGCGACCATTGTAGTGACCGGGGAAGATAGTCTTGAATTGCGCCGTACCATCGGCATTGGTCTTCTAGATACCGCGCGGGGAGGTCTTGTCGAGGTTGGTAGCATCGTCGCCGTTACCGTTCAGGCTACTCTGGACACCAGAGTAGACACCGGTGGAGTTGCCGTTCCAGGTATCCCAGTAGAGGTCCTGAATCGGTTCGCAGGTGTTGAGATCGATGAATTGTCCATCGAGAATGATAGGGATTCCATCCTCACCGTTCCAAACATGACAGAGTGGACGAGCTCGCCCTTCACCCAGAAAAGTGCGACCTCTCCTTCAGGGGTAAGGATGCAAACAGGGCTCTTGGAGAACATCTCAGACTCGGAGGTGTTCGGGGTAACATTGAGGGAGGAACGGTGGGAGGTATTCACCACCTTGTCGGTGTCACGGGCAATCATGCCTCGCTTATGATGTTTCGCAACCGTTGCGGCACGGTGAGCTTCGGCACTGGCGTTGACTCCCCGGCGCTCCAAATAATCTGCGCACAGGTTCAGGCAGCGTTTGCCATTGTGGAGGAAGGACTTCTTCGTCAAGGCGTTGTTGGAGGTGGGCTCGTGGACGGCGGGGTGGCCAGTCTGGCCATGGCAAGGAAAGCTAACTTTCCGAACTTCATCGTGAGGGTTTGAGGCGGAAAGGGAAAATAGGAGGGATTGAGTCTGAAGTTATTAGTGATCCAGCCCGAATAAGATGTCCGTTTTCATTTCTTCAAGTGGAAAATCGATACAACAGTTGGAAATATACCAATGCTGTTAGTTCAATGTCTCTGAGCAGTCCAGTTGAGTTGACCAAACTTTTAGAAGTCCGCCAACTTTCGTCCATACTTTATCACTACACAAATTCCAGCCTAAAGGACGATGAAATGGAACCGTATGTTTAGCGTACCCTTTGCACTCATTTCCGACATGGGATATGCAATATATATATATATATATATTATTGAATCTGATATTGGCACCACGTGGTAAATTTACCCGGAGCAATGAACTGCCCTATGTATAGTGGTTGATGACGTATTTATGGAGACCTCGGCCGTTCCGACATAGGCCTCTGGAGATACTATATTGTTCGAAATTCACACCTCTAGATGGGATAGTTATTTATTGTTTTACACAACACAACATATAAAAAAGAAAAAAAGGACGTCCGATATCGCGGGGAGAAAGATGAATCACCAGGTCTTGGCAACAACCCCCCCCCCCCACATTCCCTAATAGGCTTAGCGTTGTCGTTCAAAGGGCGCGCAGATGCATTTTGGGGGGATCCGTTTGGTTTTTGCTCGTCCACTCAAAGAACCCTTTCCTTTCTCCGCTCACTCCGTGTGGACTTAGTCGTATTGACTGCTTCTGTTGTTATCGGAGTTTGTGCTAAACGGTGGATACCTGAGCATGGTGCTTCGCATGCTTATCATGAAAAAAAAAAAAAAAATTTAACACGGGGGGGTTTGCCTTGGAGCGGTCCATGCCGAGTCACCAGAAACAGCGGAATTGGTGGCCCACCTCTAGTTCCAAGGTCACGGAGCTCCACCCGAATTGATTATTCGCCTATCTCTCTCTCTACCCCAGACAAACCTTGGAAAGGTACTTTCGGCCAGTTTTCATCTGACCGACTCTTCTCCTGCTTTCCACGGTGTCCTTTATTCTTCCATTCTGTTGGTTCTGAACAGCTGTTCTCTGGGCAACATTTCCCATTGTAACCATTCACGACATGGAGTATTTTGATTTCGAAGGCGCCTCGTCGGCCCATGGCTCTAATCAACTAGACGACGATGTCGGTTCGATTGATATTGAACTCGACGAAGCCGAAGAACAGGCAGCGAACTTCGACTCGCTGGTTCATGATCAAACGCTGGAGTTCTCCAATGACCCGGCACCGGAGCCGTCCGAAGTGAATGTCTCACAAGCCATTGACCCAGTCGGGGTCGACGGGGTTTACCCCATGTTCCGGGCCCAAGAACCATGCGACTATTGCCAGCGAAGGGGACTGGATTGTTTTGTTGCAAAGCGCGGTATAATGAACTATGGCTGCACTTGCTGTATCTCTCTTTGGCGTGAATGCAGTTTCACCCATGCCAAAACGCCGGGCAAATTCCTCCAGACATTACATAGCGTGTCAGAGAATGCCTACGTTCCTACAGGTAGCCTGACCGGAAAGAAAGCCCTGAAATCAGTTTCATACAACACATATCCCAATGACCCAGATTCGCGCTCTCAAAAAACTGGAGCTCGATTCTCACGCAAAGCAATCAGCATTCTGAAGGGCTGGCTGAGAGACCATAATGAGAACCCCTATCCTACCGAGCAAGAGAGAGATGACCTGAAACAATACACTGGTCTCACTCGGACGCAAATTGCTAATTGGCTCGCCAATGCCAGGCGACGCGGCAAAGTTCGTGCGTCACCTGGGAGCAGTTCTCCCGTTCCAGGAGCTGTGGACATCCCCATGAAGCAATCCGTCAACACATCCCTCATGACTCCTCTTGAACGTTGGAAGTACTCTCCCCCGAAAACGAACCGGCTACGATCAGCGATATTACCCGTGCCCTGGCCAATCCTCCATTCGATCCCACCCGTCCAAGACGGGCCCCATCGAGTCACGTGAGGCCCCGTCGCCCTGGGTCTAGTAACAATGAGTCAAGCCATGCCAGCTCGGAACATAAACTTTGTGCCGCCTCTGCCAGTAGTTTTGATTCATCTATTTCTGATCTCTCTTTTGCTTCTGCCTTCTCTCATCGATCCTCTCTTTCCTTTGGGTCAATGGATCGGAAAGAACGTCGCCGCCGCCGCAAGGCCTCAGTACCTGCCAACACCCTTGCCCATTCAAAGGCCAAATCTGCTCGTCCTTTCCAATGTACCTTCTGTACCGACTCCTTCCCTGCTAAGTATGACTGGCAGCGACATGAGAAGTCCATGCATCTAATCTTGGACAAATGGACCTGCTCCCCCCTACGGCGGTACAATTGAACAGAATGGTATACCTCTTTGTATCTTCTGCTTGGCAGCTAATCCAGACGACGAACACCTAGAAACTCACAACTTCATTAGTTGCCAAGAGAAGACAGTGCAAGAGAGAACATTTTACCGGAAGGATCATCTCAACCAACACCTCCGCTTGATGCACAATGTCAAGTTCCAGCCCTGCATGGAGAAATGGCAAAGCAGCATCACAGATATCAAATCCCGATGTGGTTTCTGTGGCTCCATCTTCCAGACATGGAAAGATCGAGTGGACCATTTGGCCGGTCATTTCAAAAATGGAGCCACCATGGCTCAATGGCAAGGGGACTGGGGCTTTGACCCGCAGATTCAAGCCCGTGTCGAGAACGCCATTCCGCCGTACATGATTGACTATGAATGGCGGTCCCCAGATCCATGGGCCACTGAGCAAATTAAGGGAGATGGCACCACACTTGGACTTCCTGTTCCTACGGATATCAATTGCTACCATCGCCTTTCTCGTGAACTCACTACCTACATCCACAGCCAGAAGGCACAAGGAGTTATTCCATCAGATCAGATGATACAAGCAGAAGCTCGCCGTGTGATCTATGGGTGTGACGATCCTTGGAACCAGACCTGCGCAGATAATATTGTCTGGCTGGGTGTCCTTAAGCGTGATTGTGGATTACAAACTCAAGTGAACAACGACAGCATCCAATTTGCCGACCTGGGCATGCAGCCCCCATTCGCTACCGATGGCGGTCTCCGGGCTGCACCCCGGGAGATCAATGTGCTAGCGCGAGCAGTATGCCAAGGGGCCCCCATCCACAGCCCCGCCATCTCTAGCCCTAGTATGCGCAGCCACGGCTTTCCTAGCACCGGCTTTTCCTCGGCTGGGCCTAGCCGACCGGGGAGTTTATCAGGCAGTTACGCTGGTAGTGCAGGGATGATGTCAGCTGGTCCTGATCCGTCCTTTTCGACGGATTGGACTAGTAGTCTTCCGACCACTGCATCTGTGCCTGGAGAAGGCACAGCTGACCCTCTGGTACAAATGGGATTTGATCCAGAATTCCTACAACGACTGAATGACAGCTACGGTGAAATCAACCCGGATGATTTGGAAGGTTTGCATCTAGATGGCGCCGACGGTCAAAAAGGCTCCGAGCAAGGATGGCCAAACAGAAGCTTGCTTGGTCAGCCCATCCCTCCGTCTCGCATGGGTGAGGTGTCTGCTTCAGATTCGGTTGCTGTTTTCAATTCCGAAGTGGGCCACCCTCCTGCGTCGAATGCCACCCATGATGATATGCCAGGGTATTTTGGCAATGGCAACTTTTAATGTCTTTAAATGTGATTTACTTGTTCGATGGAGAACCATACATGGCAAGAAAAGTTAGCTTTATAAATTGGTGCAATATTTCTTGTTTCATAGCATATAACTTGCATGTTAATCACGTTTTTTTAAAAAATACCACAAATCAATTAATATTTTCTTTCCACTTTTCTTCTCTTGTTTGAGATCTTACTCCCACCAAGCAGCTTCCACACGTCACTCTTGTGGCGGGTGGTTCAATTTGGAACCCAACTCCATCCAGCTCCATTTTATACTCTCCCTCACCTAAGGCTTTTGTTTCATCCTGAAAGAATTGCGTACCTTGATTCAGTTATCAGCACGTGGCTCTGTGTTAAATCCAGGATTGAAGTTTCCACCGACCCTTTTTCGATGAAACCTGATTTGTGACTGGTTGACTCACAGTCCGATGACGAGTGAGACCGACAGTTCTTTGATCAGACCAGTGATATTCATTTCCACCTGTGTGACATGTAGAGTACCGAGACTCTGAACTCAGAACGCTCCCATAGCCATGGAAACTTTGCGCCCAGCATGCACCATTGGCCCCGGGTACACCACCTCAGCAACGTGCCGAAGCTCAAAGGATTTCCCTGTCTTGGGCTTGCGCACTCAGGGCCCTATTCTTACACATAACCAGGTGCCAGCAGCTTCCTCGGGGAGGTTATCCCTAACAGCACCGCCAAGCTACTTTTCCGGACTACCATCTCCGAGATGGGAATGGACATCTTGAACTTTGAGTCCTTTGGTCGTGCGGAGTCGGTCTGCTGTTCCCGATCACGTCCCTTGCTTCGAATGGAAGAATACGAGCTTAGCTGCGAACTTGGTCTCAATACACAAGATCAATATACTGATGCTCGCATGAATTTTCCCTCGTGGCTTTTCACCGAAGGATTGGATTGGATCCCGCGAAAGTATAGACAGATGATTCCTTTTGCTTCCCATCTATACGAGCTCGCAGGCAAGAGGCTCCCATGAAAATCATGCATCTTATGTGATCGACCCGCATGGAAACTCCGAGATGCATGTTCTCATGCAATGTTCTATCTCCCCCTAGGCCCACATAAAAGCGTGGGAATCCCGTCAAAAGTATATGATATCAAGAGCATGCCATCTGATTTGATACAGATTGCCAGTCTAGTGTCATCTTTAGATATGAAGTTCACCCTAGGAAGCCTGTCCCTCTGGCTTCTATGCCTCGTCCAATGGACATCTGCGGCTACAGTGTTCTTTCCAGTCACCTTGACATGGGGGAACCTAACTGTCGCAGGAGTATCTAGGCCAGTGATTTCGACGAATGGCCAGTTTCCTGGTCCCCCGCTGCGGATCAACCAAGGTGACAGTGTTGAGTTCCTCGTTGATAACCGGTGTCCGTTCAATACCACTATCCACTTCCATGGTATGTTTTTTGATAACTTGATCTGCTTTGGGATAAACATACTAACTTAATATCTTACAGGAATTGAACAGCTGGGAACTCCTTGGTCTGATGGAGTCCCGGGTGTCTCGCAGAGATCCATCAGACCAAACACTTCATTCCTGTATAGATGGACAGCAACCGAGTACGGGGCATACTGGTATCATGCGCATCACCGTGGCTCTCTCGAGGATGGTCTTTACGGACCAATCTATATCACTCCTGCCCCCTCGGTGGAAAAGCCTTTCAGTCTTATCACAACCAATCCTGCTCAGTTGCAGGCTATGATCAACGCAGAGAGCGTGACCTCACCCGTCTTGCTTTCGGAGTGGCGTGTCCTCACATCGGAAGAGATCTGGGCTGCCCAGTTGGCCTCTGGTACAGACTCATTCTGTGCCAATGCTTTGCTTATCAACGGCAAAGGGTCCATCACCTGTCTGCCGCGTGCTGAGATTGATGCCCTGACAACAGACGTTCAGAAAACGAGCCTGGGTGATGATCTAAGATTAACAGATATGGCGTGAGTAGATTGACCCGTCATGGTCCAATCAATAAACTAACTTCATCACTAGATGCTTCCCTCCCAACATCACTGAAACAGTATTCAATTTCGCGCACAACTACGCTGCCATCCCCCAACCATGTTCGAAGGTTGCGTACCATCTCAAGGTCCCCAAGAAATATTCACTGTCAACGCCGCCAATCAATATATCAGCTGGGATCTCACCAGCACGGCCGGTTTACTAGAACTCACCTTCTCAATCGACGAACATGACATGTGGGTCTACGCCATCGACGGACGATACATCGAGCCCCAAAGAGTCAACGCAGTCACCATCCCGAACTCAAATCGCTACTCAGTGTTAATCCCCCTCACCCAACCAGCAGGCGACTACACCGTACGCATGGTCAGCGCCAGCATAAACCAGATCCTCAACACGACCGCCATAATGCGATACCAAGGCCTACCCCAGAGAACCCGACCATCCAACCCGTGGATCCAAATCAACAACGCAGCCGTCTCAGAAAACACCGTCTTCCTCAACGAGTCCAGTGTCATCCCATTCCCGGCACTGACCCCTTCAAACGATATAGCACAAACCTTCTTCCTGCACATCAACCAAGTTGGAACCGCCTACCGCTGGAGACTCGGTAACACCAGCTTCGGCCTCGAGTTCGAGGAAGCACAGCCCCTGCTCTTCAACCAGAACTCCATTCCCAGTGACTTGGTCATCAGAACGAAGAATAATACCTGGATCGACTTTATTCTCCTATCGGATACTATCTTGCAACCCCCGCATCCGATCCACAAGCACTCAAATAAACATTTCCTCATCGGTCAGGGTAATGGTACTTTCAATTGGAATTCGGTGGCGGAAGCCGTACAGGCTGTTCCTGGAAACTTTAATCTGCAGACGCCGCAGTACCGTGATACCTTCCATACGCTTCCGGCTATCACTGGTCTGACTTGGACGGCTATTCGATATCATGTTGTTAATCCCGGGGCGTTCTTGATGCATTGTCATATTCAGGTTCATCAGAGTGGTGGGATGGTTTTGGCGATGTTGGATGGGGTTGATGTTTGGCCTACTGTGCCTCCGGCGTATGCGATTGCTGCTGGGTTTTAGTGGATTTTGTACGCGATGCGAAAAGGGGGGTATATAGTGTGGACTTCTGAGGACATTTCGGTTTGTTGTTTGCTTTGGTATTTTAGTATAGGTAGAACAATGTATTGGGAGAGTGTACACGGGGATAAAGAGAATGCCTTATGTTTTAGCAATAGAATGTGCACTGATGAAATGAAATGATGGTTTAGAATATGAGTCCTGTCAAGTAGCTTTGATAAAAAAACAGTCTCTCGATTAAAAAGTAGGATCACATACACAAATGTCTGATCGATGATATATCCGTATCACAAAGTGACCGGTGTATCAAATGGCTGAACGCATATATTCCACGAGTGCAAGCACCTCGGTATATAGAACAAGGAAAAACAAAAGAACAAGTCGGCCATGCCCTCTCAGAGAAGATGGGTTTTGATTCCCTCCTCAATGAGGGTTAAGTGGGCACCAACAACCTCAGTGATCTTTTCTCCACCTTTGAATAACATGAATGTAGGCTTCGCCCGCACACCTAGCTCCTGTCCAACATCTTCGACCTTATCGACATCCACCTGGTAGAATTTGACCTGGGGGTAGACCTTGGTCAATTCTTCAATCTTGGGTGCAATGACTTTGCAGTGTGAGCACCATTCGGCGTAGCAGTTGAGGAGAACGGGGTCTCCCGAGACGAGGATCTTCTGTAGGAAGTCGACTTTGCTGTGGTGGGTGTTAGTTGTGGGTGTTTGTGTAAGGAAGGACAGGAGGCTTACGTGGTGATTTCGGTGACAGACATATTGATGATTGACTTGGAGGTATGGTTTGTAGAAGTTGGTTGTTTTTGAGTTGAGGTGGAAGGGAAAGGAGATGTTATATACACCAGGTCCACGGGGTGGGGTGATCCAGATCAGATACCTACAACATAATGTGTAACTAGTTATGTAGTAGGTCTAAATTTAGTATTCCACGATCATACTATTTCCTATTTGATATATTCTATATTGATCAATATATGCTTATCGTCCATGAATACTTAATATCATGCCATAATGTTGTCTGAGGATCTTGCGTCTATAGCGTGGGGAGATGGGGTCCACTATATGACCAGTTAACTATATTTGTAAATTACCTAAACAAGTATATATACAAAACTCATCTCTTAACACAAACCCATTCCTTCAAAACCAAAACAAAAATGAAATTCACAAAATCCACAAAATAAAAAGAAAATACAAAAAATAAATAATGAGCCTGAAAAACGAGGAATCCGAAAAATCTGTGGGGTGATGTTGTTCCGTCCCGGGTTGTATTTAAGATCAGGCTCGGTGTGCCCCTCTTCACATTCCCCTTCCCCCTCTCTATCTCCCTCTTTTCACCCATTTCCATCAAAATGTCCAAGCTTTTCATTGGGTAAGACCCAGAAATCAGAATATCTAATGCGCCCGCTGATAATTTTCTAGCGGTCTTTCCTGGAACACAGACGACAACAGTCTGCGCCAGCGCTTCGAGGAATTCGGCGTTGTCGAGGATGCCGTGAGTCGTTCTGACTTCCAAAACTGATTCCCACAACATTCTAATACTGCTATTTTCTTCCACTAGACCGTCGTCAAGGACCGTGATACTGGCCGCAGCCGCGGTTTCGGTTTCGTCCGCTTCTCTACCGATGACGAGGCTACTGCCGCTATGAACGCCATGAACAACCAGGAGTAAGCAATGCTGACTCCTTCAATCTCTTACCTCTACTTGAAAGTGCCTAGTACAACTCGTGCTGGAATGAGTCGCGCATGATCCGCGTCGTTCTATTCCAGCGCGATACGAACGGTCTCTCTTCCCCATTGAAAATGTATGCTGACAACTATCTTTTTTCCAGGTTCGACGGTCGCCAGATCCGCGTTGACAAGGCTACTGAGCGCGCTGCCGGTGGCGGTGGTGGTCGCGGCGGCTTCGGCGGCGGCGGTTACCGTGGTGGCGGCAACGGTGGCTACGGTGGCGGCCAAGGTGGCTACGGTGGTGGCCAGGGCGGCTACGGTGGTGGTCAAGGCTACGGTGGCCAGCAGGGTGGCGGTTACGGCGGCGGTTACTAGATGTTCCTGTCACGAAGCTAACGAAGGTCTGGACGTGATTAGCACTTTTTTAACGAAGGTTGTGACTTATGCTGGGTTGACGGATACATTTGCTGGGCCAGTGACATTTGAACCTGCCCAATACAAAATCGAACTCGTTCAACTAACCTTACCTTTAATCGATAATCAATAATATCGAGCCTTGAAATCAGTCTTCCTTTTTGGTTCCTGGTCTACAATGTGCGCGATATAACAACGTAGTCTCTCATTCTCATTGTCATTTGAGTTACCCCGCATTGTCTTGGGCACAGATCACCTTCAAGGCTTGATAGATGTAGGCACAGACTATAGTTATATGTAAGAGCCACATTGTATCTACACTTAAGTACTGTTCATGCATAGTCTAACGCATCTGGTATCCAATATCTGTCCAATATCTAATCGATTGGAGAAGGTCGATCACTAAGCGAGCGGGAGGACCTGGGGGCAAAGTGGAGATATCAAAGTCTAGGGTCTTGGCATTGTTTCAGATCAGGTACATATTGCATTGCACATACAACATACAACAGTTTATGGAATTGAAAAAGCAGACGAGGCTCGCTAATATAAACATCATCATAAAACTCAACTAACGAGGGCCTATGGCTAAATGAGCAAAAGACGCCAAAATGGGCCGGAATATTGTAAAAATCGTAAAAAATCCCAAACATTTCGCCTGATATCGTTCCAGTCATCGTCGTAAGGTGGGGAAAGTAATGTCTACTTTCCCAAGATCAATCTGTTTGTTCGTGTTCTTCACTTCGGTCTTCTTTTTCGGCTTGAGTATCAGGCGATGCAGTCTCCGTAGCCACATCTAACAGAGAAGGAGACTCGATAGAGTTTGCGGAAGGAGAAGACTCTGCAGGCATAGTGAAAGATTCAACAGTGTCATCCAAAAGAATTTCTCCTTCGCTATCAAGTTGGGGTTGCTCGTTGTCTGCAGACGTGTCTGGGGAAGAAGGGGACTCTTCAGACGCAGCAGGCAAGTCCACAGTCTCATCTAAATAGTCCTGTGCGTTGTCCTCAGATTGAGGTAGGGTGGTCTCGGCAGGCACATCTGACAAAGTAGACGTCTCGACAGAATAAATAGCAGAATGAGAGGACTCTGAATACACAACAGGAGAGTCCACGGTGTTATCCAAAGCAGTATCCGTGTTGTCCTCAAGCTGAGACTGGGTAGTCTCCATAGGCCCCGCGGGCTCCAAAGGCAGAACGGGAGACTGAATGGGGGCAGGAGCTAAAGAGGAATCTGCTGTCTCTTCGAGTTGAGGCTGGGAGTTCTCCGGCAGCTGTGGTGATGCCGGGGTCTCTGTAGGCTCCACGGGGTATGTAGGCTCAGCATGGGAATCAGGAGAGTCAACACTTGGAGAAGCAGAATCCACCATCTCAGATATTGGAGTCACTTCACTCTCACTTGCAGCCACAAATTCAGAATTCGGCAAAGAGCCAACTGAGCTCACTATCAGTGGATCGCTCGCAAGAGAGGCAGAAGGAGACAAAGATGGAGACACGCTGAAATTCGGCATATCCGGGGACTGCTGCGAAAAAGAACCCAGGTCGGAGTATGTTTGGATTTGCTGGCGAGAACCGATAGCAAGGAAAGCCACAAGGACACTGAGAAGAAGTAGGGCGATATTTCGCCTATCGGCCGCCAGAACACGGAAATAATTGACGAAGAGAGTCGAAAGAGCAACCTCATGTTCCTTCTTCCGATGTATAAACTCCGGCGCGTGGTCGACCCGAGCTGCAGTTGCAGCTTCGGGGAAAGCCCGCCTAAACATCATCTCATCAGACTGGGAAGACCCCACATCACTGATCATCCGAGCATGGTTCTGTCTAGGCGACTGCAGAATCTCCGGTGGGACCTGCTGCCCACCATCAACCAACGGCGACATCTGCATTTGCATCTGCATCGGCGGAATCTGACTCTGAGCATGCTCGACAACCGCCATCTGCTCCTCTGCAAGCCTCCTTTCCAGACTACGGCGCACATCGGAAGGCAACCAAAGCCCAACCTCGACATCAACCTTCTCCATATCACGCCACGCAGCAGCCCAAGCTCCAGCGCGCATCAGCCCGTTCGCGGCAAATACCCGGATCTCCCATTTGCGGTTACTATCTCCGTGTCGCACATGGGTTCCACAATCGGGACACTCATCACCTTGTTCGCCGTCCGTCTCGCTCTCTCCGATATCCGAGAAATCTCCTTCGGAGCCAGAGCCAGAGCTATGGTCCTCACGGCCCACGAAGTGGCCATTCTGCAGGCGTGGCCGTTGCAGCTCAAGACTCTCCAACAACCGCTCCTCTAGGATATCGTACAGATCCTCCGGGTGTGAGATCAACACCCCGCGATCGCGCAGCACGCCCGATCCAACCCGGTCCTGCAATCGCCGCCAGCGCTTCCAGTATTCCGCCGGTAGTTCGTCTTCCAGGATATCCTGGTTTCTGGGGTCGGATGCTCCAGGTACCGGGATAGACGGCGGGAGCAGGGTGCAATGCAGCAGCACGAGAGGAGCCTCCTTCCTGGGCTTGGGCTGTTTCGATGCATTGGGTGAGTAATACGGCGATCGCTTCAGTGGTGAAGGACCAGGTGATCGTGATCGGAGGCCTTGTCGTCGGCGCGGGGGAGTGAGATACTCGTCGTCATCGGCTTCATCTTCTGTGTGCATCTGCATGGCCCTGACGGAACTGGGTTTCCGGAAGGCAGCTTCGCGCTGACGGATCGTGCGAATGTTGGCGGGGATATCGTTGAAATCGCCGAAGCTAGCTTCGGACTCTTCTATTCTGTATCCGGCTATCTTTTCGTGGATGTCCATGTCTGGCATTTGTTTCATTCTGTCGACCGGGTGGACGAGAACAGATGCTGGGATTGAGGATAGGGATGAGCGACTCGATGCTCTGGATTTCAGTTGGTCTAGTTCATCGTCC